GGCCGGCCAGAGCTAGGCAAATTATGCTAGCATAACTTGGAGCATTATGGATCAAAGATTTCTGGTCCTACACCCCTGACCACACAATTTCAATTCAATATGGCAGGTAGTACATGTACTAGTGCACATCCCAATTTCTTAGCACCCACTTGTGCAAGCATGGCAAGTCCAATGACTTAGACTATTCTATTTTCCATTGACTCAATGTCACTAGAAACAATTTCAGATTCTGACATTATTATTTTTATTACAATTATAACAGATGCATGTAGGTATAACTTGATAGTTGATACTTGAGTAAAGCTTAAAGTATGAGCAAAATAATGAGCATAAATTGGATTTGTTTCAAAGCATAATAGGATGGAATTTGGGACAGTGCTAGTGCTGGGCATAGATATAAATTTTCCTGGCATCTTTAGATATGAAAGTGTCTTTGCTTGGTAATCTCCAAAACTGTGACTGAAGTGTACTCACAGTGCCTAAATTTAAAAGCATAATAGGCAAAAATCGAAGCATAATTTGCCTAGATCTAGTGATAGTATTATTGTGTAATAAGAATAATGTATTACATAATTATAACCATCATAATAATAATTATTATTAATTGTCCTCGTGAGTGCATGCAGTGGGCGTAAAATTAAGAATTCTTTAACTATACCACGCCTACAAAATGGCAGATAAAGAGATAAGCTCAGCAAAATTCAGCACAGGAGGGCATCGTGTCCTTTAGGAGGAAGATACGCGTCCCATGAAGGACAGGATATTGGTGCAAAATTCTGAGCTCAGACTTGAAGTTCAGAATGACAACAGCATAGAGAATGAGAAACAAGCACTTTTCATCTAATTTTTACTTAAATTCATTAGCTCTTGTTTGGTGTCGCTGAGATATTTGGGACATTTTATCAGAAAAAGATAATAGAAAGGACAAAAAGCAGTACAGAGAGCTTCATCTTTTGTTATCAATACAGGCTAAAACTCGATGGCTGTTTTAGCATGCATGAGATGTTCACATGCTACATGTAGTATAGTCACACCACATATCATGAGGCATTCACATGCATTATTTATGCTTAAAGGTTTTAAATTCCAAACCACCCCCATTGTCTTCCTAAATGCAACTGTAGAACTTGAGCTATACAAACCATTTGACTTTGTGAATTTTAATTGTTATGAACTCAGTGCTGTCAATCAGTGTAAAACTATGATGACAATTTTCACACCTATCTAGAAAGATAGAAACAAAATAATGTATCTATTAAATTACCTAAAATGAAACACAACATTAATTAGTTAATCATTTTCATCTTCATATGCTCATCCAGTCTTCTCCTCCTCGTTCTTTTCTTTCTCCTCAGGCTTTTCTTTCTCTGATTCATGATTATTATGTTCTGGTTTAGGTGTCTTTTCTGGCTCTCCTGGTTTAGGTGGTTTCTCTTCTGGTTTATGTGGTGTCTTTTCTTCCTCTCCTGATTCTTCTGGTTTAGGCTCTGGAGGTGGTGTCTCCTCTGGTTTAGGTGGTGGTTGTGGCTTTGGTGACGGTTGTGGCCTTACTGGTGGTTTCTTCTCATTACAAAGTGGTAGCGATTCTTCTTTAGTGATCTGACACTCATGTTTCAATCCAGTCCTCAGGCACACAGTACAGTTCTTACATGCTTCAGGGAGTTCATTAACACATACTGAATGAGCAACCACTTCTTTGCTGTCTGGATGCCTGCAACGTTGCTTTGTCTCAATGCAGGAATTATTGCAACGTCTTTTCTCACAAGTAAGGAGCGATTCATTCCGTGTAACTACAGTTGGCTTCAACGGCTTGAAGATTGGTTTTGTAATATTCTTAGGTTTACAAGACCTTGGAGTGAGCTTGCATTTGTGTCTCTTTGAATTTGTCCTTAGACAAATCCCGGAGCAATTGTTGCACTCCATTGGCTGTCTCTTGACACATTTTGATATAACAACCAGCCTCCTCGTTCTCATTCCTTCCTCGGCACTTATGCTTCTCGATGCAGTAGCTAGGGCACTCATTGATAGTACCATTTCTTTCCTTGCATGATACTCCCTTGAGTTTGCGACTTTTTATTTCTCCTTCAACTGCTACCAAGAAGACAAAGAGAGAGAGAAAGACAAGAACAAAGGAGACCTTCATGTTTGTCTTGTGTGGGCTAAGTAGCTATAGTAAGGCTCAAAGTCTAGTTTATATAGCAAGTAGTGATAGTCAACGTGTGCTCACTCATGCAACCTTATATGGTTTCTCAATACTATGCCCACTTAGGCTGCTATTCACAATTCACACACAAGAACTGCCCTCTCATTGTATCATGAATCCACTGTAGAACCATTGACAAAAAGCCTCATAATAGCATAACAATTTGTTGAATTTACACTTTAGCAAAATTAGCATAGAATAACAACTGCATTTATGCAGGCTTTCTGGCTCTATCAAAAAAGTGAGTGGGCGTAAGCCAGTTGATTAAAATTAATTAATTTAATTTATAATTTGTGCCACGCCTACAAAATGGCAGATAAAGAGGTAAGCCCATGAAAATTCAGCTCAGGAGGTCATTGCGTCTTTTAGGAGGAAGATACGCGTCCCATGAAGGACTGGATATTGGTACAAAATTCTGAGCTTAGACTTGAAGTGCAAAATGACAACAGTGTGGACATACAAGTACCCATTATTATTAATGACTGGCATAGAGAGTGGGAAGTAACCAGTTTTTGTCTAATTTTTTATTTAAATTAGCTCTTGTTTGGTGTCGCTGAGATATTTGGGACGGAGATGGCAAAGAATATGCGCTATACAATCTCCAATCAAGCAAAGATTGCAATATTCACTGACATTAGCTGCACCATAAGAGTATCCTACCTGAATTAAAATAGTAATGTAAAATAAGATGCAAAATTATCTCAATCATAATAAAGACTGATAAAGTACTTTATTTCTAAACTATGACTGCTCTCGTTAGCTCTATATAATCTCCAAAAAATCCAACCATCTTATTTAAATTTCCTTGACGACTATCATCAGATACTAGGCTCACCTGACATTGCTTACGTTTCCACGGACACTCCGATGCATATTTATCGTAATACTCACTTTGCTCTTGAGCATTTGAGGAGGACAGCACAACAGAATGATACCTTTGGGCCTAAAGTAAGATGCATATGGCAGTCCTTTCATAGCATTATTGTATGGTACACATGTCTAATATAAGCCTACGTTATGTCAAATATCAATTTGAGCTGATTCTAATTTTGATTGGATTTTTTACTAATTTTTAAAGTTGCTTCAAAATCGGGTTAAAGTCCCTGTACTATAGTACAGGGTTATTGGTCAAATTTTGCCAAAAATGAAAGGGAGAGAGTTCTCCATTTTTATAATTTTTTCTGATGCACATACATGTACTTATGCTATGTTTCAAGTTTGAACTGATTCCAATTAAAATTGGATTTTTTGTGAATTTTTAAAGTTGCTCCGAAATCGGGCCAAAGTCCCTGTACTATAGTACAGGGATTTTGGCAAAATTTCACCAAAAATGTCTAGGAGAGAATTCTCTTTTTTATAATTTTTTCTGATGCATAAACATGTACTTAAGCTATGTTTCAAGTTTGAGCTGATTCCGATTAAAATTGGATTTTTTACGAATTTTTAAAGTTACTCAAAAATCATGCCAAACCAAAGATCATTGAGTATAGCTTTAGCTGTAACTTAGGTTCTTATGTCCATATTAGGTAATGGTGTGTGGTCCTACTGATGTAGGTAAGAGCACTTTGTGCCGTCTCTTATCAAATTATGCCGTGAGATCTGGACACCAACCAATACTTGTTGACATTGATGTTGGTCAGGTGAGTCTCACAATGTCAATTTTTATTAATTTTTTCTTAATTGTGCATAAAATTTTATTATAAGCTGAATCCACACACCCACAGTTAAACTTTGTTAGATATTCTATTAATATTGTGACTTCCTTTTCTTCCTGCTTTTAGAGTGACATCTCCATACCTGGCTCTATTGGTAAGTATATCAACTGTCATTACTAATCAAGTAATGTCTGTTGATTTATCAATGCAGTCAGTCAGTGACTGAGGGCTTTGCTTTATTTATTGGGTCTACCTATCCATTAGTACAATTTCAGCACAGTTATTCTATTGTGGGTTAAAGATGTTTAGTCTCTGGGTATTGCCAAATTTTCAACAGAGGAACATTAGTGCAAGCCATTGCATCTCTTTGTATAGTAATTCGATAAATAAACAATAAAGTCTGAGAACATGGCATTGTCATGAACAGCATGGCACAATTTTTCTCACTGGATTACATGTATAGAAACATGAATAGATATTGTTCACTAATGTACCAGGAATAAATACACCTGCACATGTGTGGAATGGCCCGAATGGGAAGTCAGGGCTAGGCAAATTATGCTAGCATGATTTGGAGCAAAATAGGGCAAGTTATTATGCTGGCATAATGGAAGCATGATGGGTCAAAACTTTCTGACTGACTACATGATTTCAAGTCGTAGTACAACAACCCAACCACTTAATGCTCACCTCCTCAAGCGTGGTGATCCAAGCAAGTGTAGTGAATCCAATGGCTTAGGCTGTGCTATTTTGAAGTGACGCAAAGTCTGGAAACACTTTCAGATTCTGGCATTATTACAATATTGCAGTTATAGCAGATGCATGTATATGTAACTTGATAGTTGATATCTGAGTAAAGATTAAAATAGGAGGATAATAATGAGCAGGATTGGATTCATTTCAAAGCATAATAGAATGGAATTTGGGGCAGTGCCTAAAATTAATAGGCAAAGATTGAAGCATAATTTGCTACAGTCGAACTTATGTGTACGTCATACCAATGCTACACCACCTGCTATTGTATATTTTATTGGCAGTTATCTAACATCAGCTCTTATCTTAATAGTAAAATAATACTATACATATATTGCTTGACACTACATGTGCATGTATATAATATTCCCCTTCCATTTTTCCTTATGCTTTGAAGCATAATAACTGTCATCTGAGTATTCTCTCAGGATTATACTGTGGTTTCTTATCTTAATTGTGTGTAGTGTACTACTAGCAATGCTCTTTCAGTGTAGTACTATTAACATTTATTATACAGTATTTAATATTGATCATATTCACGTATTCT